TGTTGATGGCGCCTGGAATTCTATTGATGATATTAATTCTATCCCTATAGCTTCTACAACAAGGCAGCGATCATCGTTTTTATTTTTTATTTTTAGACTATATACATCAAATTCTTGCGAGTTACCGCGCTGATTTCCAAACGAATAAATTGTTAGAAATTCTTTTCTAATGACTTGCAATTCTAAATCGCGCGCTAACTTGTGGGTGATGAAGTTTCGTTCACTACCTGAATCAATTAATAATCTTACGATTCTCGATTTATTTTTGCTTTGAGCAATAACAGAACATGTCTGTAAAAGCACACTATTTTCAGGTTTTAGAGTGTTACAGTGGGAAGTAGATACTAAAGTTTTATTTTGCGTATCTGCGGAGTTTAACATCTTCCATTTCTTTCGATTTCAAACGGCAGAAAAGTTTATTATGATTTTTCTCGTTACAATTTTCGCATGGTTGTATTTTTGACCTGACAAAACGACCGACAAATGTGATTTTAGAAAGCATCTGTAACAGCGACCTTCATGTTTTAATTTGTTTCGTTTTTGTTCGTCGGAAAATTTTAAACATCCGACAGATGTATGTTCGTTTGATTTGCAGAATATGCAAAACAATTTTACCGATGTGTTAAAAGCAGAAGATTGTGATTTGACTTTATAATTTTTCAACCCTTGTTTAGGATTAACCTCTGTGTATTTATTACCTTTTGAGCTATTAATCAACATACTTGCTTCTCGGCATTCAGTTTCGATTTTAATAAACTCTATTAATTCACTTACTTCTATATTTTGGTTAGATGTTTTTTTCTTTTTCTATGGAATTCAAGAGCTAAATCTTCAGGTAACAATTTAAGAATTATTGGGTTCAATAACTGTCCGTATGAACCGCTAGTAACATCTAAACTACTTAAATTTCTAACGCAGATTTGTAACTGATCATAGAGCTTTCTTAACTCAAAAACATTTGAAGAACTTTTAACTGGTTCTAACTGTAACAACATCTGCATGAATTTTGATATAATAACATCTTTACGACCAAACCTCTCTTCTAAACTTTTAATGCATAGATCATAATTTTCTTCAGATAAAGCATAACCAGAAACACAATTATATGCTGAACCAGATAATAAACTTTTCAAATATGTAAACTTATCTATTTTAGATAAACTTGGATTAGAATGAATAGCATTATCATACGAATTAAAGAATTCGAGCCATTTACTGGGATCACCAGCAAATTTTTCAATATTTAATTTAGGTAACTTTACTGAAGCACTACTTGTAACAACATTATTACCATTCAGAGTACTACTAATACCATTACTAGTTGTAATTATACTTCTTTCAACAACTTCATTACTGTTAATTTTCTTTACTTTAACAATCTTAGCTTTAAACGTTATAATTTTTTCATCATACTCTTCACATACAAGTAGTTCGTTATCATATTCTTTTTCATCAATTATGAGAGCATCGATCTTTGAGTCAAGAGTTTTAAGTTTCTCATGGTATTCAATTAACAATTCATATGATGAATTTAGATCTTCTACATGTTCTTTACTTAATGCTTCCGATAATAATTTCTCAAGTTTATTTAGAAGTGTAGTAACTTTACTACGTACAATAGCACGTTTCTTTTTCTCTTTTGCTAAATCATCCATTATGTTTCGTTTTCAAAGATCGATACCAAGAACAAATAAATCAAATTTCTTACCTTTCAAAAGGTAATTCCCCTTGTCGCGGGTTTCAGACACCAGAAAAATGTATGTGTGTGATGTCTCTCTTCATGAGTCATAAATTCAAAGATCGTTTCGTTTCAGGAGTCAAGGTTGGGAGAGCATTAGAATTTCAAATCAAAACTTCAAGATTTCTTAGAACATAGAAATAACATTTATTAACGATAAACTTATATTACTTATATTACTTCCGCCTATAGCGGCCATGAAACATAATCAAGCATCAAATAAATATGACATGCGTCATTCTTCATGTTCAAGCGTCAAGTGATATATTTTTCATCGGCGCGCATCAAGAGCGCCACCTATCTACCAAAAAGACGGAACAGGAAGTATAATTAGTATCTGGCCATTTCTCCAAGCCAAATTCATAGTCTTTTAAATGTTATAATTCTGAGGCTGTTGTAATTCTTTCTCATTGAGCTCATTCTGATGGTTTTCTAACTCGTTCACATCTTCGTTGTCAACTTCTTAGTCAATGGTTTTACCTAAGGAAGCATAATTAACAATAACAAAATGGTAGCTGGCCATTTCTCCAGGTCAAATTCCTAATCCTGTAAAGACTATCTGCGACCAGGCATTGTCAATAAAAATTAAGCAAGCGAAAATATTAAAATGATGTTTTTAGAAGGTCTTGAGGTTACCTAAACACAACTTTGAAAAATCATATGTTGCCAAATTCATGTTGGTAACTTGAGACACTGTTCGTTATCCAAGGCAATTTGTTCAGACAATTTGTCCGTAAACCGGATTGTTAGTAAAGTGAGGTGTTCGTAAACTGGAGTTTCACAGTAATTATAATTTTTTTTATATGAAATGTAATTGAAAAAATACATCGGTCACGAATGTCTGTTGTCTGTTGTCGGTCACAAATACTTTGTATCAAATTCAACCGCAGTGAAAAATTTAAATTCAGCATTAATTAGTTCTATAATGGTTGGTAAGAAATTAATTCACATATAAAAATGAAATTTTGTATTCCATTTTCCTTAAATTTATAAAATTAAGAATACTTGAGAAAGAAATTTTTTTGATTTCAAAATTAAATACTTAAAATTTTGTCACTGATGCCTTTCTTTTAAAAGCATTTTGTACATTCAAGATTATACTTTCTGTACTAATGCCCCTTTCAAGTCTTCTAGCCTAAAATAAAACAGTTTCCATTTCTGAAATTGTTTCTCGATATTACATTTTATTATATTATGGAATGATTGAATATGTATTTTCTTGTATTTCTTAGAAGAAAGGGGGACGCGCAAACCTAAAATCGAAAATGATTGAAGGAATGATGAAATTTTCCATAAATACTGTTCTTTAAAAGTTTATGCTCTTGCAGACTTTTTTACCTATAAATGATTTTCTTTCTCCGCATTTTAATTGTAATTGTAGTAAATTTAAATTCTTAATTAAAATATCTAAGTCATTTAAATTTTTAATTATGATTTATAATTTAAAATTTTAATTTAAATTATTTTAATGGTTTTAAAAAAAAATTGACTAATATTGGCTAGAAAAAAATTAATGCTGTTTTCAAATTGTATATATAATACATAATATTATGTATTATTTTATATACATGGATTATTGTATTGTATGCATATGTATTACATATTATAGTATGTATTGTATATGCATTATTTTTGAAGTCCTATGTATTATTTTTATTTACGCTGTTACGAATGGCCATCCAAAATAAAATTACTCTTTATTAAGATCGTACTTGTAAAACTGTTTTGAAACATTCTTTTAAACTATCTCAGTTTCAAATTATTTAGTGCATTAAAAGTATAATGTAACATTCTTACGAGTACCCGTATATTCTGATCTCGAATCACGGGAAAATTATAAAATCTGTTTGATAGAAATAAATTTTTTTACAGTCCCTTAACAATGAACGATTTTTAGAAAGAAATTAGGTACTCTAAATTCACGTCTGCTTGCCGGAAGCACTTTCTAGGATTTATTAATAAATTATTATTTCCCCTTTGAAATGTTTTTAGTCTCTAGAAAACAAACAAAAGGGCTAGTTGTCAGTTATTTGGTTTTGAAAGTTAAGGGGATGAAGCTAAAAGAGTTTGAGCTTTCAGCTTTTTGTCATTAATTGATAGATGCCTTCACAGAACAAGAGGAACTGCTTTTTCCTTTGTTCTGACTGGATAATGATTACTGACTAAAATTACAGGGTGAACAATGTTCTGGTACGATCAATAAAATAGTTTCTGAAGTGTTCGTGCCGAGATAAATTGTAGTTGAACTGGAAATTAGGAAAAAAGAAAGAATATTTTAAAAACCGAATTCAGTTTTTTTAACATTTATTATTTTATCGTCAAATAAAAATCACCGTTTTTTATGACATTTTATGAAAAGATGATAAATCTTCTGCAAATCTTGTGAAAGGCATGTATTAAGAGGTAAAAAAATTCATTTGCTTATTAAGGGACAGTATATTGTTCTATTAAAATAATATATTTAAATTCTTAATTTGCAGTTTACATACATATGTACTACATTTATTGATACATGCATATGTACTACATTTATTTAACATAAACATTCAACTTGTGTATGTAATTATTACCATTTAGATTACTTTACTCTCATAACTGAATAAAAAAATTCTCATAACTGAATGCTCATATAATTCATTAAATTGTAATTGCTTTAAAATTTTTTGTAGATGTCTTAAGCGCTTCTGTAATAGTTTTTATAACATTTTCCAAATTTCAAGCGTTTTTTTGCATGCATGAATCTTCAACATAACAAAATTCATTAGCACATTTTAGCAAAATTTGTTATCAAATGGGAAAATAAATGATATTATTAAATGTAATTAGCTTGTTAAATTATTGAAATGTTATGAACTAGTTTATAACACTTCACAATACTCCAAAAAAGTAACCTATCTGTGAATGTAAAATAGTGAGCTACAAATAATTTTTTTTTTATTTAAGTTCTTATATTTAATTCTATTAAAGATTAAAAAATACCAGATTTTAGTCACAAATTTTTATCAAAAACAAACATAATAAACATAAACATAAGCTAAACATTCATTCATAATAAAGTTGAACATTAATTAAACATTCATCACAAAGTTGAACATAAAGTAAACATTAAGCTAAACATTCACAACAAAGTTGAGCATAAACTAATCTTTCATTCATAGCAATGTGGAACTTAAATTAAACATAACATTAAACTAAACATTCATAACTACACTTTATTGAATACTGTTGCTATAAAATAATAATAAATATTGTTTTAAAATATTTTCAGAAATACTTGCATTGCAGAATGAGATAAATGCAATTGTGATTTGTTACTGTAATATACTATACAAAGGTTTGTAATAAGATTGATTTTTCAGAGTACTGTTTCGATTTCGATATTACTTAATATTAAGAATGATAATTAAGGGCTTTCTGCCCTGGTTGCAAATGAAATGCCATAATTTAATTATTTGAATACAATCGTTTCTATTGTGAAGAGTGATTTCGTAATACAAATATCGAAATTTTGTAATACGTATAATTTAAAGAAATATACGTTTACTCTAATGAATATGTTTGTGATATGTTATCATTACTTATAAAATTAGCTTATAATTTTCAAAAATTTAATTTTTTTTATTTTAACTTCCAAAAGGGATTACTAAAGCTATCTATTTTTACAGCAAAATTCACTTGCGGTGACATCACGAGTCAGAATGAAACTGTATTCGTTAACAGAAACTATCCTAACCATGAAAACGGGACGGACACTTGTCAAGTGACCATAGAAAAGCAAGATAATGTGTGCCAATTGAGACTAGATATGCATGAATTCTTCCTTTCCGAACCAGACGAGATGGGTCTCTGCACTACAGATTCCTTCATGGTGCGTACTACAGTGGGAGAAAGACTTCCAATATTATGCGGAGAAAATAAAGGGCAGCACTGTAAGTTATTTAAAAAAATATTATTTACAGTGTCTTTTAATCACTCTTGCCTGAAGGCCTATGATTATCTTCTCGACAATCGAAATTTTATGTAAAGAATAAATATAAAATATCTAGTTTTATCTTCTAAATTATTAATGCAGTCAAAGAATATCATGAAAATACAATTTTGCAGCATTTTCAACTGACTAAAATAGAATAAAATGCTTGTACTGAATTTATGGTTTAAAGAGACGTTGTAAGTAGATTTCATGTAATATTCAAAACTGTATGAATGATATTTTTTTCGGGCAATCTAATCCTGGCTTTTTTGGAACATAGGCTAATAAACCGTGGAAAACTATCATATCAATACACGTATTTTAGAGGAGTTGGTGTGTAGAATGATCAGTGGAAATACCAGTTTTGAACACAATGATCTAAAATTTTAACATTACATTTCTATTATTATTCTTAAATGTATGAGATTCCCAAGTCAGTAAAACAGGAAAAATCGCTGCTTTTCAAAGTTAACCTTTTTCTTCTGTTGCATTCTTTTCTTTCGAGATACGTATTTTACAAAGAGAACAAACGATTTCACTATTATACTACGCAAAATAATGAACTCTGAAGAACCCTTTTCCAGGAGATGACTATTTTAGTTTGACAAAACTTATCTTTAAACAGTGGAACAGCATAGTTAATTGTAACCACTGCAAGAAAATACTTAAGGTTTTAATTATTTTCAATAGTGTAGATGTGTGAATGTACCATAATGCTTACTTTCATTTAACAATTTATTCATTTCTGCTTTTGCTACTGAAAGTGCTTTCCATCGGTTATTCAGTAAAAAAGTATATTTTTGAATTGGCTCCATTCCTTTTAGGTTTCAGCTCAAGTATTCGGGTTCAGCGATTTTTTTAAATTTTTAGAACATTTAGACAATTTTTTGTACACATTGTATTGTACAAGTCTTACAGAGGTAAGTAAAATAAAGGAAATAATACAACAACACAGCATAAATAATATAACAATAAATGAACTAAAGTTTTCTTCTTTTCGTAAGCTTTGAGCAGTAAAGCAACAAATGTTCTACTGTCTGACATTTTGACTCCCCCGCAGGTACAGGAACACAAGTCCATATGAGACAATCCAAATCTCTTCAGATATGAAAGGAAATTACCATGCCCAGTCAAAAATTTAATAATTTCTGAACTGCAGAAAAATACTTATTATTGAGTCTGTGTGGAATAGAACGGAGAAATTATTCAATCAGAGAGGCAATAATAGAATACTTAGGCATATGGTAGAATGTATAATTCAGTATTAAAGCGGTAGAATACATAATTCATTCTGCTTGAGAATTGCTTTAGTCTAATTTTGTTTCTTGAAGAATGACTTAAGCAGTGTCATTTGGTGTTAACTTGAGGATTCCAAACAGCGTTGCTGCTTTTAGTTTGGATAAAAGTGTTATGCTGTACCTAAATTTTACAAGGTGTAATTAAACACCAACTTAGTTAGGTCTCCAAAAGGAAAAAAAAGTCATAATTTTGCAAATTTGAAATTTTGAAACATTTGAAATTAAGTTGCTTATGTTATTTTGAACATATTAATGAAACCTGAATCATAAACCTAAATATCTGCAACAAACAGGGTCATTTCTTAGTTCAATCTTAAACTCTTGGTAGGTCATGTAACTTATGGGCATACTGGTCTACAAAATTCTTCACAGTAACACCTTTGATAATTCAAAATCAAGAACATTTTCATGCTTTTAGCTAAGACAGAATCGGCGCAGCAGCCATAAATGAAACAAGAAATTTTCCATAATTAAAGAAGAGATTAACGTCGGCAGAAGTATAAAAATTATTATTCTGCGTATTCTATACGATGCGTAATATATAATATTTGTTATAAATAATTTTATTATAATAATTACATTTAATAAATTACAGGTATTTCAATATTTAGAATGGAAATCGTATTGTATCATAACATTCAAATAATGCATATTGTGTTTTTCTTTCAATGTATTATTATTTTATTTACTAGTATACGTTGATATGGGACGAGGTTCAGGAAATCCTGTTGTCCTCAGCGTCGTGAGTAACGGAGATAAATTGTCCAGGAGATGGAAAATAAAAATCTCTATGATTGAATGTGGAAGTCTTAATATGGGTAAGTGAAGAATTATCATCAAAACGAATTTCATAAATGAGTAAATTCGACTGTAATTTTTTTTTTCAGAAAACTGTTTATAAAACTATGCATTAGCATGGATTTAATCAATTTTTCATTGAAATTACGAAAATGCAATCATAATGACATGAGTTTTAAAATTCTGTACTTTTTGCTTACATACTTCTATGACTCTTGAAAATTGGGTCGTTCGAATTTTCTTTTCTCTTAAGATAGATTGCACTGCAGGATAATTTGTCTAATTCTTTTTAAATAAAACCACCGTAATTATTTAAATTTTTAAAATAAAGCAAGTATCATTCCGTAAAACCTAAAATTCATTTGACAAATTGTCAGTATTTGCGAGAATACATTGGCCACCTTCTCTTATAGCCCCAGCGGGTTGCCTCCAGTATTTCCGAAATCCCAGCGACATCGTAAGGAGCTTCAACTATGGACCAAAAATGGACGGTCAAGTACGGTACTTGAGCAACCTGCGCTACACCTCGTGTGTTAGGGTTGAAGAGAACTTCTGTTCCATCAAATGGGAGACTGAAAGTCCAGGAGCCTTTTCTTTTGGTGCACCCCACGATGGTGGAGCTAGTGGTTCCATCTGCAATGAGGATGACTTCGTTGGAATCGATCAAGGATCTGAAGATGGAATGGGACCTGGAGAGGACCGTTTCTGTGGTACAAAGCTTCATGACAGGGATGTACTTATATGTAAGTATCTCTATGAATATATTTGATTCGAATGTATATATTGCAGTCTGATTATAAATACAGTTTCTCCAAGCATTTTTTAAAAATCACCTATGGAGTTTTATAGCAATAAGTAAAGAAACCGAATATATATTAAGCAACAAATTACGACTATCAGATAGTACGTTGTAGGGTCACTTTTGGCCTTTATTATGGGTAGAAATTTTAAGCATGACTTCTCCTAACCACAGAAAATGTTTTAAATATAATGAGATGAAATGTCATGAATAGCATTTTATAGAGACATTTCCATATTTTAGATCGTTCTTAAGATCTAATATAATAAGTTCTCGGTTTAAGTGAAATTTGAGGACTGAAGAAAGCAGAGGAAAGATCTCCATTGAAGCTGCTCTAATTATTCTCATGCATTGTAAACAACTATTTCATAGATCATTTTCGTAGCAGAAGTAACCGTGTCTGTTGGAATAAAATATCAAGATCTCTCAGCAGACTGAACCAGTGGCACTGTTGAACGGTCTTCACTTATCAGTCAATGCATCACATGAGTCAAAAAGGAGTGATATTGCCATAAAAACCTGTTTTACGGAACAGCATTGGTTTTGCCAAATCTACGAAGTCACTATAATTTGGGAAGCGTCCATACTCTCGTACTATTGTATCCACATCCTTATTATTAGAATGGCTTAGCCAAAATGTTATAATATTAACCTACCTATCTAATATATTTCTATATTCTTGCGAAAACTGAAAGTGTTTCAACTCTTTTGTGATAAACAGCAATAGCGCAATGGAGTTATTTGCTTCTGTAGCTTGTACGTTACAATATGAGGCGCATTGTTCTGAGAAACTCTTCTACACACACACAGGTATATATATATATTATATATATATATATATATATATATATATATTAATGTTGTATGAAAATTCTCTAAGTTCGTAAATAAGTTATTCTAATACTTGCGCATAGCTGCAAAGTAAGATAACATTAATTTATATACTAAAGAATATTGATTATATATCTCCTAATAGTAATTTAGTAGAAGTATCTAAAAAGAGTGAACCCATAGGTAGGATGTTTAATTCCGAAAATTGTTTTAAAGTAACTTTAATGTAAATTGTTAAAAACGTTTTACGGGGGACTTGAAGTAAATCATGAATAACAAAATTTCAATTGGAAAAAGAAACTAAATTAAAAGCAAGCAATTATTGCTGTATGTATGTATGTATGTATGTATGTATGTATGTATATACATATACATATACTATATATCTGATTTAGATTATTAGCACTTTTGAACATTCTTACCCATTCGGTGGAAAGTGCATGAGAAGTCTTCCCTATGATTGAGATTTTTTAATCATAGGCCTTGTATCCAGATGTATTATCCTTCATATATAGTGTCTGTATTCTTTAAAAAATTACCTTTTTGATGTGTGTGTATGTGTTTATGGCAAAGCCTCGAGGGCTATCTGCCTAAAGGGAGGTATGCCTTTCGTGGAGGACTTTCTAAGGGAAACTGGCTCGTATACACGTTACACATGGGGAAACCACGAAAACGCCCATGCAGCCAGCCCGTTCGCGGAATTCGAACCTCGGACCGAACTACCAGTGTTCAGCGACTTTACCGCTCGGCCGCTGGTGGGCCACCTTTTTGATGAATTTACTGATGCTACTTAATTTCAAACTCTCCCATTGCTATTACGTGCACCAGTTAATATTAATTCTTTCATTAATTGTGTGCCTATAGTCTTTAAACTGTGTTTCTGTTTTATGTTTTCAGCTCGTAGTAAACCTTTTATGATTCGAGTCAAGAGCAATCACGATGCGCTTCTGAACAACCAAAATTCGCAGTATGGATTCTCCCTACGTTACACTCAGCTTCCTTGTATGATTTGAAACTAGATATTTCATCTAAGAAACTCAGGTAATATTTTCATATTTAAGATAAGAAAATTGAATTATGCAATACTATTTTTTTTTAATCTATAGAATACTATTATTGGAGAAGTTAAACAACAAGAGTGAACGTAATGTAAAGTAATGGAAGCGCAAAATGGAAGTAGCTTCCATTTTCTGCAGCCAAAATTATTGAAAAAACATCTTCCGTTGGTGAATTAAATTTTCTAGAGGCGTTTCATCCCCCCAAACAAAACCCTTTCTGTTTTAGTTAACAACCCTAATTCCAATCCATCTTTACCTTCAACCTTCAAGGAAATTATCTTTTAGTATTCTTGTTTTATCAATAGATGGCACCAGTAGCTTGATTTCTTTCCAGTCATTCTTATCTAATCACCATATTCTACCTGTTCATTTGCATTTAGGCAACTAAAGAAGATGGTTCTGAATTTAAACCATGGAAACTAGTCCTGCAATATTTACAAGCATTACACTGATTCTTGTTGTTCTTCAATAATCGTTATTCAGCGTGCTATTTAAACTTAAATTATACAATACTGCTCTTATTAAAATATCATTTTAAATACCAGACATCAATTTAAATAAAGACATCAATCAATTTAAATATACGCAGTTACTTTAAGCCAGTCTTCTGAAGCCTTTAAAGTCCAAATGGTAATGTTCTTTAAGCTTTAATTCAAATTTACACTTGTGAAGCTGTGTCTTTGAAATACGATCTGCAATCATATATGGCTTATCTGTGTGTCAAGTATATAATAAACTGTAATACAAATGAGGGAATTTTATTTCGGCGTTTACCGATTTTGATTCAACAAAAGAAACAATTGAGAAAATTAATAAAAAGCTAAAATAAAAAGATTCTTTAAACTGTAAAGGAAAATATCCTATTTTAGACAATTTGAGCAATAAAATTATACTTTATTTACCTAATATAAAGTAATTGGACATTTAAATTGGAATAAACCAACGCTTCTTAAAACTTTTTTCAATCGCGACCCCCTTTTTTATCATTGAGATTTTTTTCGCGACCCCAGGTATTAAATGTAAAATAAAGATATAAAAATAAGTATCCTCTCGTAAATAATTTACTTTTTTGGTAAACAATATATATAAAAAAGTAGTTTTTGGATTTATTTCAAGCAAACAAAAATTAAACAAATTAAATTTTGGTGCGATATTGGAGACTGCTGAACATAAAGTATCTTCAATATGTTTCAACATTGATGAGAATTGGTTTTGATTAGCGTTAAATCTCAAAAAGTAGTTTTATATAAATATGTGGTGCTGAATGAGAGAAGAACACGTTATGCCATTTCAGAAATAAAGAGAAATCTAATTCTAGCTCCGATCCAGAATTCATGAAGGATTTTTGAGAAAACTCAAGTTTTAAGTTTAAATCGCTAGATATATTTACAAATTCCTTTCGCATTTTATAGAACAGGTAATTAATCTCATTTATATCATTTAATGGAATGTCTTTAAAAGTCTAACCTCATTAATGTCAATTAATGTAATTTCTTTAAAAGTCATATGAATGAAGTTTCTTTAAATACATCTATCGAATTGAATTTTCGCGACCTCATAATTTCGATTTGCGACCTCATTTGGGATCGCGACCCATAGCGTAAGAAACGCTGGAATAAACTGTTAAAATTCATTTGTATTACTGAATACACTGTATTTATCGTATATGTCTTGTTTTTATTTCGTTTCTTGTATGTTAATGTTAGTTAAAATTCGACAAATTAATCAATTTCAAATAAATTACAAGTAATTTATTATTTGTCATATTTATATATATGTATATGTAAACCTCTGAATTATACTTAGAATAGTATAATTTAGATAATAATACTCATAGAATTAGCGATAGCCCCTTAATTCATTCTTTTGGTTTGGGCCCTTTCCCCTCTATTCTAAAAGTGATAATAACTCTTTCGATACTGCGTCATATCTGATAACTAATTCCAAATTATGACATTTTAACCTTCTGCATTGGGTGTAATTTTTATCCAATCAGATTAACGAAATATTTTATTATAAATACGGTTGCAATTCAACTATACGAACATTTTAAGGGGTCATTCTCTCGACTTCGGACATACCATGTAATTTTAAGACTGTTTATTCCTTTATTGTGATTTTTGATTTATTGGACTTTACATGCCACCACTCAGCTAGGCAATCTCCTGCCTCCAGTAGCCTGAAAAGTAACAGCCATTTCCTCTTAGGTGGCCTCAGGCCACGAAACACGGATTCCTAGGTCGGAAACCTATCCCAGGCTAACAAGATTTGTGATAAACAAAGCATGAAAACATAACTTATAAATAATATAATATTGTATAATAAGCAAAATAGTCCTTGTAGCAAGTCCTTCTAGGGTGAAAAAAAAAAACGAAATGAAGCATGTCCGTCGATGTCGAAGCTAGTACAAAAAGCACCGATGGAGAAGTCGAAGCGATGAAATGGATAAAATGGTACACGTAATTAGAATATTTAATAATTGGCAGGCGGAAGCATAGTTATTGGCTGAAAGTAAGAAAAGCACCAGAGCTAAGAAAATTACAGGCTTGTTCCAAACAATAAAATACAAATAATAACACAAACAGGAAAAGCATGTTATAACAGTTTATGACAGCATACAAGTAAAATGAATAAAACCACAACAAATGAATACAATAATCAGTCTAAATGTCTGAGAACGGCTCCATGCCGTTTTCTGTTAACTGCATGATGAGGATCATAATTTAGCATTGGAATTGAGGGATTGTTAAGACTGGAAATTCTGTTTAAAATTTTTTGGAAATTTTTGCAATAAATACTATAATAGGTTTTATGCCAAGTTCTTTACATAGTTGCATTACGGTAGAACCAGCGAGCTCGAGCAATTCGGCGTAGTGTAATGTTTTGACTAATTTGCAGTCTCTGAAACGTGTTTTTACATCTTACTGTGAACCTCAGAGGCACAGGCATAAGTAATAATAGGGCGCAACACAGCCTTATAGATGAGTAACTTGTTGCAAAGGGATAAAACCAGAGATCCAGCGAATTAAGGAATGAAGAGTGGCTTTACATATCCGGAACTTAAAGATTACATGTGTAAATTGGAACTTCAATGTTAATCTTTGGTCAAGTATAACATCAACCAATATAGGTTACTTGCTTGGACCACGGGATAGCAGTAGAATTATACATACAAATATTAAAGATGATAGCTCTTCGGTATGAAAACATGACCGCCACGGTTTTTTGACGTTGATCTTTATTTTCCAGCTCTGAAGCTAGGACTCTTTTACGGACATACGGAGAATACTACTTACGGACAGTGCATGAATGTGAATTTGTAGTGCATGTTCAACTGAATCCAGAGATGAGTTTCGTGCGAGGATCGCAGTATCATCTGCATACATGGCAAGTGTTATGTTGTGTTGGGAGTGCAGGGTATGTCGTACACATCAGGTAAGAAAATTATTGGGCCAAGGATTGACCCTTACGGTAACCGACTTCGATTTGCCGGTTTGTGGAATGTGCATTTTTCAAGCAAACAACAAAGTGTCTATCGGTGAGATAGGAATTAATTGTGTGTGTGTAAATAGTCTGGAATCCCAGAATAATAAATGTGTAAGTTATTCCCTCCAACGATCAAAGGCCTTTGAAATATTGAGAAAAAGTCCACCAGTCGGTTCTGGGTGTTTAACTACATCCGAGATACCTTTGTCAACACGTAGAAGTTTAACAACCATTTCATTGCTGTTCTTAAAAGAACATTTGCTCACCATGTAAATAGTATACATAGCGATTTCTGAATATTTCATGTAATTATTTTGAATTATATGCATATATCTTTTCAATTAGTGCAGTAGTTGGCAAGCCACGCCCCTTCATGACATTAGATTCGCTGCTTTAAGCCATGTGACCAGCTAAACAGTGCCTGACCGCAACCTCTTCTACAGCTCCATCTAGTCTTGGCATTTTCTCGCAGGAAGCAATGGGCTTGAAAGTTTTTCCCACCTCAGCTTATACCTCATCTGGAGAATACTATTTATGGACTTTCTCAAAAGTCAGGCCCAATTCGGGATTCGCTCAGGAATCTGAAAAGAGCAGGGATAGGAATTCCCCGCTGCATGCCAGAAGAATAACAATAGTGTTACGTTTTTCTTCTGACACCAGTTGTTACGTTATTTTCTTCCTTCACGTTCTTACACAACACTTCTTGATGAAGTATCGAAACACACACTTTATTGGCCGGTATTAATCAAGACAGCTCCAATAACACGTTTACACAGTCGTCGAGGAACTACAAAAAACACGCTGGAACAATCAGCGACACAGCCTTTGGGCTATCATGATGAAGACCGCTTCACAGCAAAGCACCAGAGTACAGCTTCCGACTCTGCTCGGTCATTCTCGGAACTCTACGTACTCTCGAGACTCTCCACGCTACATCTCGCGATGGACTCGACGAGACGCAGAGCACAGCTCCCGTCTCTTCGGTTCAGTCGTTCCCGGAGCTCAGCACACTCTCTCGACGGTGCGCTAACCGAAATTCACTAAGAGACTCTATCGGTGCACTCGACGACCAACTCGGCGCTAAACTTCGAGACACTTGTTCAATGACTGACTATCAGCTCGCTAGACGAGGCACACACACACATTGCGGACCAGCAGAGTTTATATAGCTTTCCGCTTGCTTTGAGAACATTGTGGGCTAAACAGGTAAGAATTCGTTCCAGAAGGTTCTCCATCCGTCCATGGTATATCGCCAATTATCGCCAAATGGGCGATTTATCGTCAAATGTGACAACCCTGCCTTCCTTGCTATTTTATGAAAACCCTGAAACTGTTTTGTGGGGAAACCATCTTACCGCGCCTGTACATTTCGTAACAATAAGATCAAAGTACGCTCTCTGTTTCTCTGCCTACGCTTGCTAGCCGAAAAACGTCTCTTGCTTGGCTGCTTCTGTTAAAAATGTAATGCGTCATCATCAAAATTGTGGGGTGCAAATTACCTCCATTGTGCTGTGCCATTTAGCAGAGTGTCAAACGAGTAATAAAGATATATTTGGATTATCAAATGATTTTGTTGATTCTCCAAAAGTTCCCGGCATCTACTATGTAATCGATATTTTCGGTCATCTAATCTCAATCCACTCGAGACTGCAAAATAATGTCTTCCCTAGTCAAGCACTCATCTCATATAAAATTGCTGCAATGAACAGAATTATATCATCACATATATATGACAAATAATTAATTCGATTTATAACTTTCATCTGAGGTTTATGCTTTAATATAAAATGTTAATGGAGAATGAAACTGATAATGTTTGACGCAAATTATTGCTGACGTATTAATTTTGCAATAATATGAAAAAGTAGTCCGTTTGCTGCTTTTAACTCCCAATTCTCAATTTTCTGAATTTTAAATCGGTGTTTGATTAACATTTTCACAAACTGTTCAATACTAATTTTAGTTAACAAATATTTCGAAAGAGAAGTATCGAAATCCCTTGTAATAATATCTCCTTGTTGTTCATCACTTGCAATTTTCGTACGAGCTACGTCAAAAATAGGGTTGGGGGATTGAAATATGGCTTCTATGGGCTGCCTGAATGACAGCTTGTGAATATTTTAGGTTATTTAATATATAGCTAATATTGAATATTATAGACGAAATATTAATTTTGATGACATTATGAAATCTCTACAAATAAAATTGCAGATGAGTGGTGACACATTACTTTTATTCTTGTTTTCTAGGTCTGTGACACATGGCACTTTTTATGTTCCGGAGCTGGCTTTCTCCGGCATCACTTTGTAACATCCGAAAGAAGAAGCGGACTATTTATAATTCACTATTTAAATGACTCATCTTATTTTATTTCTCATCTGTATTTAACCTTGGACTGAGACAGGATGAACTGATGTTTATGACTTTATACCATATTTATTTAAAATCCGAAATTTATTGAGCATTCAAAGGAAGATTTAAGTTAGTCTCCAATGCTAAGGTAATATTGAACGGTAATATTTATACTTCAGCTCTACTTTAATTTTTTAAAAAAGTATTGGAAGATTTCAAAATTATATGATTTAAAATATTTGCTTTAAGTCTCAAATGATTTAATTAGTGCTATGCAGTGTTCTTTAAGGGATCGAAAGCTTTTTGTAAGTGCTTTCTCAAGCTTTTAGCATTAAGTAGCTTAGAATGATTTTATCAATACGAATGCAAAACGTCATGTCATCCGTCTGTTACATATTCCCACTTTAGGTGTTCACTGCAACAGTTCTTAAAAATGCACTGTAGCAGTATCACTTAATATGTTCAGTTGTATACAGTCTTGTATTGTTTTGTCCATGTTTTGTAGCAGTCAAAGTGATTGGATAAAAAGTGTCCAAAGACGTTAAGTCTGAAACATCGAATTTTAGAACTTTTCAAAATGAGTGACCGACTGCTTAGCCGAAAAGTGTTGTGTTCTGTGAATCTTTGTTGTATTTAAAGATGTCAGTTTTTGTTTTTGTTCGATCATCATTAAAAAGGAATCATAACCATGATAGAGTTGTATTTATTTGTTTATTTTAATTTAATTTATTTTTTTTCCTTTTTGATAATCAACAACGTACGGATGTCCCATGAATTTAAATCAACGATCACTTTCGCATTTTGTTTCTTGTTAACTTTTATAGCTCTTTAGCATATCACGCATGATGAAATAATTTCATACGTAGCAGAATTATGGAAATCAAAACCTAAAATTATACATGTAAATAAATTATATGTTTAGAATAAATTTTCTATTTAAATTTTATTTTTTGTTTAAACTATAAAAAATAGAATTTTGCATTATAATCACAGTTTAATAAAAGTTTTGCATTTATCTAAGCCTCACTCTTGGGAATTTTTCTCCAGCTATACTGGGTACCAAACATTTTGTAATTTGTTAACTTTCAGAGAAATTATTTAGTACAGCGTACTTAATATTTTTTTAAAACAGTTCATCAATGAAAGTAAGCACTTAACAACCTTACTCAGGTCATACCAATATATTGTGATTATTTGCTCACATTATGAAAATATATATATATCTAAGCAGTGAAGAAATTGTTTTCAAATGTTTATTTACAAATGCCTGGAAATTATTAGTTTGGAAGCTTACCACTTTAGGTTTAGTTTTTAGTTTACTTCGTCGTGTACCATAGTCGTATCGCCGTCAATAAACAAGGCCTGTTCTAGGCTAAATATTTATCTTTATATACAACTATGTACAGATTACAATTTAGAAATACTTTGAAATACATTTTCACTTCAGTAGAGCGCGCAAACTAGCGTCCGCTCTTTTCTCTTTCACATCTCAATCTCTCTTCTTTCTCCCCACCTGCGATCAGATCAGGGGGGAAAGTCCACTCCCCTCTTCCGGCCGAGGCGAGCAGAGGGTTCTCTGCAGGTTCTCTGTCCCTTCTTTTAGGGTGGGTGACCAAGTGTTCTTTAGAGAAGGGAAACGTTACAGTCGTTCTTTTCAGCGAAGTTTTATTAAACAGGACTTTACTGTAGCTTGAAAATTTGTCTTTATAAGAAAAACAGCTAGAAAATGAACAAAACTAGCATGGTACTTATGGAACACGTTGACTCTTGTTCTAAACAGAGATGTTTTTAATTGTACCTGAAAGTGCTTTGTGTGCATGACAGTTGAAAGAATAGTTGTTACATCACATGAGTCTTAATACAGAAAATTACTTCATAGTATATTAGTGTGAGTTATTGTGATCATGATTCAGGAATATCAATGGACCAGTACCCAAATTATTCATTATTCCTCTTGTTGGAAATGAATCCCTCGATGTATCTGTCTTACTTCTACTAGAATGCTGACTTTTTCCTGCGTTGTTGGTGGTCAGCACTTCTCATAATATTCGTTTTTGAAAACTTTGCGACCATTTTCCCCTCTTTGTCTGACTGTATATTCGCTCCTGAAGCACAGAAATCTGGATGAAATGTCTTGTTTCCCTGAAGCGTAACTGTGAATCGAATATTGAAGTGTGTTCACCTTTTTTCGCATTCCATGGTGGAAGTTCTTTCGCATGTGCGCATTGATTTTACATAGGCTCTTTGAAGTTTACATTGAATGTTTCTCATATATTCTAAGAGAAGAATGAGCATTTTAAAGGAAAATTCCATAATCTTCCAGTCATATACTGGAATATAAATGGAATATCCCACAGACAGTTTTTTTTTTAATGCTTTAGGAATATTCCCAAAATAATCCAAAGGATATGCTTAACATGTTCGAGGAATGCTTGAAAAATTTAATTTATAAAGTGAATCTGTTACTTGATCAATACATAAAAATTGTGTTTGAGGTTGTACACAAGAAACCATAACAACCTACTCTTTTTCAAGGCTAGTGCTCTTTTTATGAATACATGAAAGCTTTTCCTGTAGCTGTGTAGAAGAATATTCTCATTTAATATACCTGGCGTATTCTAGGTATAATTTTCTAGTGGATTAGAATAATATTAAAAAATTAAATATACTTGAAGCATTCTAGGAACAAATATAAAAAAAATTATAAAATATTTGAAAAAAATTCGAAATTTATAAAATATTCCTTGTAGATATTAATAGTATGAAATGGAGAGTTCAGCGCCAGAAGGCAGGGCACGAAAATAGCCCGCAGGGTGGGCGGGGAGCCAGCTAGCTAATAAAGGTGAAGGACCTAGCTAAGCGTTTCAATTTGCTGAGAGGTTATCTTTTACACATTTCTTAATGGGAGTTCCCTTTAACTTAAATTTTAGGACTTCAAGGCTTTGTATTCTTTCGTACATGTTATCTTGTAATTATTAATTTATACATACCCTTAACACCTGTTTGAATTTAACTGTTAAATCTCCCGGCCTTAATTTTAAATGTCAGTTTTTAATTTTTAGCTTTAAGTTTTATAGTTCCCTATGTAATCTTAATTTTAACTTATTTCTTATATCTTCAGTTCTTAACGGTATATTTATTTTCAATAACCTACCAATCATTACTAATTTTATGTTATTTTAGATAATTTTGCACAGCATTTTTTCATACCTTTTAACTAACCTACTTTTAATTTTTAATTTTTTCACACGTTTGACATTTGTAATCTTCAACATATTCTGAATTTTGACTTATTTGTTATATTTTACGAGCATAAGTATTCAAACATGCGTTTTAATTTATTATCTTATTTACATTTAGATGTAATTTTTTAATTTTTCGTACATTTTATTCATAATTTATAATGTACTCTAATTTTTATTAATTTATTATTTTTCTCGACCATATACATGAGATCTATTATAAAATATAATTTTTAACATTACTTTTAACTTTTTGATAGTTTTCATTTCTGATTTCCAACATGCTCTGAATTTTAACTCATTTCGTGCAAATTTCATCATAATAACACTTCGAGTTTATTTATTTTACTATTTAATTTAATTCTGCATGATTTTTAAAATGTTGAACGTTTCTAAAAGTATCGAGATTTTTAAACTAACATTCAATTTTATGACCGTTAATTACTGTTCGTTTAAATTCTTTCTTACTGTATATTTTATACTTCTATTTAAATTTGCATTTATAACAGTCCTGTGATTACTAACTCTACTATTTTTCATCATTTAGGTATGTTCTTATTAATCTAACTCATATTTCCAACCTTCACGATTTCCTTAAATTTTTCACTTATATTTTCCAAATGTAACTTATTACCTATATAATTTTATTTTATTTTACGCACAGTTTATTTTTTCCATTATTTTAACGATATAGCTTTATATCATTTATATTCGAATGCTTGTTCTTAAGGTCTTCGATGCTGTAATTTTACATAGGCTGCTTATACATTTATTAGACGATTTTCATTGTATTTGTTAAATCATATTAACTCTGACATTTAATACCTTTTAATTCAGGATTTCGATATGTTCAGAAAAGTTTAATATGTGAAAAACAACGCAGAATTAAATTAAATAGTAAAATAAATAAACTCAAAATGTTATTATGATGAAATTAGTATGAAATGAACAAAAATTCCGAGTGCGTTGGAAACTAGAATGACAGAACTGTCAAAAAGTTGAAAATAATGTTTTAAATTAGATTATATAATAAATAACTATCATTTATATGGTCGAGAAACATAATAAATTAGTAAAATTTAGAGTGCGTTAGAAATTATGAAAAGTTAAAATGTACGAAGCAAGTTAAGAGTTACATCTAAAATAAAAAAAATATAAAAAACAGGTATTTGAAAAATTATGCTAGTAAAATATAACAAAGAAGTCAAAATTCAGAACATGTTGCTGATCAGAAATATTAAAAGTATAAACAAGTAAAAGCTGCATTTAAAATGAAATAATATAATAAATAAAAACGCGTATTTGAACAATTGCCCTAGTAAAATTTATAAATAAGTTGAAATTAAGGGGAGGATAGTTAAATAAAAGGTAGGAAAAACTTATGTGTAAAATTATTTAAAACAATAGGAATGATTAGTAGATTATGGAAAATAAATATGCCATTATTAACTGAAAGTATAAGAAATAAGTTACAATTAAGAGTACATAGGTAACTCTAAAGCTTAAAATATATAACAACAAAAAAAAAAAAAAATGTACATCTAAAATTAAGGCTGGACGAATAAGCAATTAAATTCGAAAAGGTGTTAAGAGTATACATGAATTAATAATTACTGGATAACATGTACCTTGAAAAATACAAAGGCTTAAAGTCCTAAAATTTAAGGGAACTTCCACTTAGAAATGAATAAAAGCAAACTGAGACGCTTATCTTGTCCTCCCTCCTTTTCAGCTAACGCACCCTGCGGGATGAATCCTGTCTGTGGCTCCTGTTGCTGAACTCTCCGTTGCGCCCTACTCATTTGTCAGGAATATTGTAGATCATTTGTGAATATTCCGGCAATGTTGTGGGATGGTATTGAATTAAAATGCTAGTATATCTCTGGGATATTCCGTATTATACGGGTAAAAGTATAACAGTAGTTGCGTTTATTCATAAAAACTATCTGTCTCTATTCATAAAATATTATTTTGTTAAATTTTTATATAATTAATTTTTGGGGAAAAGATAAATTTATTTTCTAACATTTGTTGAAAATAGTTAGATAAGTGCTCCAATTTTTCAGTCAGACTTTAAAAAAATTCCTAGTCTGTCAGTCAAAAAATCGGCAACTTTATTCTTACGGTTAAAGTAGTTGTTAAAAACTAGAGATATTAAAATTAAAAGCAAGCTTCACCAAGAAGATTTTTTTTGTAACAGTACAGGGAGATATACAAATAAAATAAATTAATTTTTAACGAAAGAAGATGAATAGGAACTTCAGCCAGCACCTTCTCAGAGATACCAGTAGCGTGGCTATAGTCGAGGTACGTATTGTAACAAATCTAGAACATGTTACATGTTCTGAATGCGCTTAACAGTCAAATGTTAATGACCAATTTATATAAGAGATCTGCCAAGATCTGCTTATTGCCAAGAAAATGACACTGCGAGTACAAGGGCGTTGCTTTAGAATTAAACTGAATATTACAGAAAAGTAATATATGATACCTAACATAATCTAGTATAAATTTATTATGTGTGTTAAAAGCATTTTCAGTGATTAAAATAAACAATTCTAGCAAGTAAAAGCACGGAAATTGTTAACAGTGCCGATTTATTCTATTGTAGCATGTCTATGAACCTATAGAATGGCTTAAATCCTTAAGATCAAACACATGTTTTGACAAAGTAGTATGATCGAAACTTCAAAAGAACTGTTTCCATGATAAGTGAAAATAATACTAGGGTCATGGCTCTTTAGCTATGTATATAATTTAAATGTAAAACTGTATAGGAATAAATGCACTATCTAAATACCGTAAAGCACTTTATGCATGGATAACAGTTTCTCAAAATTCCAACTGTATCTTTATTTATGATATTATTACCACTTTAAATGCCGAGCTCTTTTTGCTGAGCTTTCCATTTATTTCACGCAGTACCGCCCGATGTTTTAGTTGAAGCGATTTGTTTGATCCCGTCACTTATATGGCAAGGATTCGAATATAAATACTGCCAAAAATTTGACGAAACGTGTCCAAAGTTCTTGTCATACCATCAGTGGGAAACCGTATATCTGTTTACAACATTTTAATAAATTCCACTTAAATAAGATGCCATCGATTCTAATAAAAGTAATGTGAAGACATATTCTTATTATAACGCTAAAAGTTTAATTCATAATGGAAAGTTAGTATAACTTTTATCGTGTAGTCTTCAGTCTCAGATGCAAAATGTCTAGTGTCAAATCAAGGTAGAGTTGCGGAATGAACGGAAACTCTGCAGTCAATCATTAATTATCGACGTGGTGCTTTTAAGGCGTTAAAAAAAAATCTGATGTATACACCACGACTTCTTTGTATGGAATATTAAATTATACGCATTTTTTTCTACATTTCATTTAAACTTATTACTTATTGAATTGAATTAAATCGACTTCATTGATAACGCATACAATACAATAGAATAAATACACTCTTTAAAATTCACAATATTTCTTTACCATAGCGCAACTCTAGCGCGAAGTTCAATTAACAGCATTTATATCTCATTAATTTTATAGCCAAGGATGCACATAATCGTTGCCATATGTTCTATTCAAATACTATAATAAATTTAAAACGATGTATAAAAGAAATTAGACAAATAAAAAAGAAAGTTTTTCACAGACGATTCAGCGCCGCTTACCTAATGCGCATGCGCTACTCGTAAATATTCTCCTCTGTCCGACACAGACTGGCGACAATACTATTTGCTGCTAATACGAAATATTTTTCGAATTTCATAAGAGATAAATTTCTCATTCTATTAATTCGGTTCTCACTTCGCGGCAAGGCAAGAATGCATAAAAACTCAAAATATGTTCATTAACAAGTAAAAGATATAAAACATAAAACATCAAGTACAGTTAAAACAATTTAAAAAATATATTATAACAATTATATAATAATATATTATATAATAATAATAATATATAAACAATTTAAAAAATATATTTTATAGTTAAAAATTACAGTTTATACACAAAAACAAGCAGTTAAGCCAGCAGGCAAGAAGGCAGATTTTTCGGTGCACAAAACTAAGTTTCCTTTTGGTCCTACTCGGCAAAAGAAAATTAATTCACTACATAGTGTACTATAATTCTGCTAAGTTTCAAATGTAAACAAATATGGCGCTATGGTAAAAAAAAAAAAAAAAAAAAAAAATTAGGTTTAGCCGCACTTAAACAACTTTAAAATGGTTGATAATTCTACAAATATTGCATGAAGATTAACTAAAAGCATAACAGCCTTAACCGGAAGATAAGAATAACACATTTCAATCATTTTTGAATAAAAAATGCGCAATTTACCAACATATAAGAATAAAAAAACTGAGCACACCGAGTCGAGTAACAGAGTGGTGTATATGTATACTTTTAGTGCGGCCGATTGCAACCAAAATAGAAGGTGCTGCATGTTACAGCAGTCCTATATACAGAATTTCAGCGTGCTGAGTTATGCGTTTCTGAGTTATGCGAGATACATACATAGATACGTACGCACAGACGCCACGAAAAAAAATCTCTTCTGAATTCATTTTAAATCAATTTTATAATTTGTTTGGGGAAAAAGATTCCTTTATTCTGTTCTTACGTACAGATGTCACGCAAAAACGTCGTTAAATTGCATTCCATAGTGGTTAAAATGGATATTTTCGTTGAAATATGGTACCCGGAATTTTTCCTCATTACAATACTTTCTTTACTATACAAGGAAGTAAAAACATGTCTTTATCTATCTTAATTTGTTGAAATATTTCTGTAACTGCAGAAGCTAGAATATGAAACCAATAATGATCTTCGACCTGCGCATATAATTAACAGTAAACCTGCACAATGTTATCCATTACAGTAATGAAATATCTGCACTATATGTATCAACCAGTGCGCCATTAATTGGTATTTTATTCAAACAACGTCATGTAATGTAAAGCTGTAAAAGTCTGAGAATTGAACCAAAAACCCATTATGCTTGGACAAGCATCCTGTCAAAGTGACAAGCAGCTTTTCACATGCCTTAAAGTTCGTCCAATAAGTTTTTCAATAATTGTTTAATCTTTCATAATAAATCGTTTGCAGCACCATCCAGGAAGAGTGAATTCGCATGGTATCTGACTTCTTTTTATTAGCTCGCATTGTTCATGTACGAGTTTCGAGGAATAATAGAAAAGGTGAACATAAGCTCGTGGAAAATAAGTTACAGAATCAGTTTCACAACTTTTAGCATTGATAAACAGAAATAATATTATATGTGATGGAAAAATACACAAATTAACATTATTCCTTAAATGATGTTAGTTTCACATAGATTAGGCATAGACGTGGAGCAATACACACCGACATAAACAAGGTGTCTTTAAGATTCTGAATGGGGGTAGAAAAAAGTTGTGCAATATAATATTCAAGTGATTCGATGAATACAGTTTTTTTGAGTAAACTGGATCTATGTAATTATATTCAGTCATCCTCCAAAAAAGAATTCCACTTGAAGCAAAATATTTATTTAAAAAATGTGACAGCATTTTTGGATTTTACTATTTGGTCAACAGATGAAATATACAGACTAATTTACTTCTACAATGGTTTCAGCAGCTAAATTTATTTACAGATTCGAATATGAATATGAAAAATACACGCATACTCACGTACGAAATGATTCTAAAGTTGTTTATTAAAAACATGCTCCCTCTAGATAAAAATTACATGCTGTTAGTTATCTTTTTTTTAATATTAAATATTGAAATTTCCTGACAGAATTACAAAAGAACGTTTTATTTGAAATTATCATGTCTTAAAATTGCAAAAAAAAGTTAACATTGGTATAAATTAAAAAATTCTATATTATTTGTTTCATAAAATTCATTTTAGACTCTGAAATGATTTATTACAGATAAATGATTTTAGAATCAGATTTGTTTAAGAAAGTGTTAAAATGTACCACTTAATTCAAGTGTTTTTTACACATATAATAGATACATATGATAAAGAAAGTTTAAATTTACTTTAGAAAAATAATTTTCAACTTTCTTAAGCAATTTTAATATCCAAATATACTGCAATTTATCATATAATATAAATACATTTGTTATTGTCACAACTGACCAGCTAGAGTAAAACTTTTTTTTTTTTTCATCACAAGGAGCAACAATATTGTAAAATGCGTGAAATATTTTGCAAGAGTATGATATGTAAAAAGTATTAAAGATTTACTTACATAGTCATGATCTGGACTCAATGAAATGATTACAATAAAGGGTGATAGATGGCAGCATTAGACGGATTATAAACGCTAATTTAAAGACTGTGATTTAGAAGAGTGGATATATCAATCAAACCATGTGAGAAAAATACGAAAAACAACTGACAGAGTGTTATTTATAATCTCTTAATATATAAGTGACCCAAAATATCGTAGGTTTTCTTAAGATCCTTATGATCTTTCTTAAGATTCTTATAATCCTTTCTTAAGATCAATTATGTCACTTAACCTTTTTGCCACAGATCTCTCCGCTATGCATTTGCATTATTCAACCAGTGTTCGAGATAAGGAATACAGTAATAACAATAGTAATAAAAACACAACACTTAATTTTTTTGTTTCCCTATCTTTCAAAACTTGCTTACAATTTTGTACATTTTAAATTTGACTCTCTTCTCTGAAGTTGCTGGAGTGATCTTTATCACCGGTACCTCTTGCAGAGATGGAGAACTTTCGAAGATTCAGCATTTCTACCTCCTGCCGTGCAGCGAGTTCATCCATTTCATCTAATTCCTTTTTACTCAAGTGATAAACAATTCCGGCACCAAAAGCATCTCCGAGAACGTTAACAGATGTACGGATTCGATCGCTGAAACGGGGAAAAAAGATTAGAAAGAGCTATTTGTGATAAAAAAGTGAGTAATATCTGCATATCAGAATTAAAACTTAAGGTTAACACAAATTTAATTATTTGTTGGGTTACTTTGATTAAAGGAAAGAACACAAGGATTATCTGCCTAAAGGAAAGGATGTTTCGTGGAAATTTTTATAAGGGAAACTGGCTCATATTCATGTTATACTAAACTTCCCATGCAGCCAACTCGTTTGTCAGAATTTTAATCCAGATCAACTACCACTAGGTCATTAGTGGGTCGTAGAAGGTATGAAAATACACTGCAAGTTTAACGAGCAGTATGCCTAATAAAAATAAATAATTATGATATAATCGCATGCATTTTAAAAGAAGCAATAGATCTGAAAGTTTAAGAATGATATTATCAATCAAAACTATTATTATTATATGTTTCGTGTTAGATATCCTTAATCAGTATCCAAATTGTAGAAAAAGCTTGAAACTTAAAGGAGCAATTTTTGAAACGTTATACTTTCTTTTCATCATCGACAGAACAGCTGGCTTTCTGGTTAGGTGTTTTTCAGCCTGTTTATTTATTTATTTTTTTTTTATTTATTTATTTTTTTTTATGTTTATGTTTTTTGGGCATTGACTACGTAAAATGAGGAATACTGAAAAAGGACCAAAACATGGAGAGAAAGTGCATGGTTGGAACCCTGTTGTTAATTAAATGAAAAATGCTACTGACCTCTTATCTGGAGTACTGGAAAGTTGCTGTTACTTGCAAAGAGCTATAATGACATTGCTGAGTATAATGTGCTCGCAGTTGTAATGCGTACCAACAAGTTATAAAATTAAATTAAATAAAAATAGGATCTATGCTAATAATATGTAATAAATGCTATATTATCAAGAGCTTTGCAAAATTGTAATGTGTCACGTTCTCCTAATTCAGTACTTATTAGATGCTTTTCATTATTATGGCATATGTTGGGCATACAAATATAATGACGAGAGGATGTAAATACAGGTACAGATGTGAAGAGGCAATATGCGCAAATATTCATACATTACAAAGCATGAAGCAAAACGGATTACATTAGGTTAATAAAAATGTGCATGAATAGATATTGCGATCACATTATACAAACACTAATGGGAAGTTATACTGGCAAAATTGCAGATTCGTATATCGATATTATGCACTAATAGTAATACATTAAATGAACACTGAACTCAGAGACTTACACTAACAATGGATAATGCCATGTTAGGTGCCATATGAATTAAATAAATATAATAAAATGTGTGTACAGAATGATTTACGGAACATTCCTTATTTTACAGATAAGACCTGTTTGTATATATTTATATGGTACAATACACTTTGGTAAGGCAAAATAATAATAATTAAAAGAAAGTTAGTATTCAGTGCAAAATTTTGGTAAAAATAAGGCCATGTAAGGCACATTCTTAATGCAAAATTGAATAATTTGACGTAGATAATAAAATTTATCTGCGAGTAAATATTCGGAACAATGCAAGTTGAATTAATCATGATAATAAACATTATTAAAGCAGTTAATTATTATACGGTAAAAGTACGCAAAACAGAACATTATATATATATATATATATATATATATATATATATATATAATATATATATATATATATGATTTTTTATACCTAAAGCTACGGACGGTTTAAGAAGGATGGCTAATTCAGAGAATCTATTGTAAAAATGTACAGAAAATTCTTGTTTATTCATTCTCTTTTCTCCAAAAAATTTTGGCACTTAAATCTTAAATACTATTGTGTACATAATTTTAAATTTTAAATTTCTATAATGGCCAATTTTACTGCTTTTATTAAAAAATCGGGCTTTTTTCATTTTTCATAGTAGCTTGATCGCCCGCTTGCTTGAAGAATTACGACTTTTTAACAAATGACTGTTTTTTCCTTTTTCTCATGCTTTAATGGCCAAGTTTTTATAGTTTTAGCTGAATTTGCCATTTTCACTTCGAAAAAATTTTTTCCATCCTACTACAAGCCAAGCGCCATTTTTTGAGATCTTTACACGTTTTCCGAGGTTTCCGGCCCCCTTCGATAATAGGAGACGAGTTGCAGACAACGAAAATCACTTCGCATTGGCTAAACGCCCACAGCACTTCGCTCCCCTCCGTACGTCATCCAAAATAAGACGCTAGAAGTTAGCAGCCATTTTTAAACAAGTTTCAGAGGGACAGCTTTGCATCGCCAAAGGTCAGTTTTTTGTTTCTTTTGTTTCAACTTTTTCTTGGTCTTAGCAAGACCCACTGAGTTTGTTCGTTTCTTTTCCTAATTTTTTATTTTATATTAATTACAGGTTTTCTTACAGTTTTCTAAAATCTATTATTTTATAATTAAATTGTTAATCTTTAAGCTTGCAGGCCCAGCCCGTATGTTTTTGTATTTTTAGGACTAATAGCTCATCGCTATTTATTTTCGTTTTGATTTTAATTTTAGACTAGATTTAGGAAGTTTTGATTTTGATTAACATATTTTAACACCTTAATGTGTCATTCTGAGCGGACGCGTCGGGAAATTGGAACAGAGAATTGAGACTATTAAAATTTCCAAGACACTTTGTCAAAAAATTTTTTTAGCGAAAAAGTTTCAATTGTCTGTTTCGGCGAAAACGCGTAATGGGGTTAGCTTGATTCGACGTTCAAATAAATGAAATTTCCCTTGAAAAAGCCTGTTTGGAAGTCGAATTTGGCTAATTTACCATTTTCCGCTTACTTTTTAACTTTTTCAGTTTTTTAATTTTATTTATGTTTTACATGTCTAATGATTTGCTTTTCATGTGTATTAATTTTTGAAAACGTTTTAAACCTTTTGGAGCAGCAGCTCTTGGTAACTTTTAGGCGAGCTTTCTACAATTTATATATATATATATATGACAATGGTTACATGTTTTTAATTTTTCCTTTTACAATTGAAATTTTATTCTTCATGATGATTTAACTCCAGTCCCCGTTAAAACATTACTAACATTTTGCTTTCAAATTACTTCAAAACATCTTTCAAAATATAACTTACCAGTATTGATTCACTCTTTTAAAATAATTCTACTTTAATTAATTTAATTAAACTTAGGAGATAATATAATCAATTAATCAATATTGTTTAGGGAAAAAATTATTATTAACTAACTTTGCAGCAATTGCGCAAGCAGTAGTAACTTGTTTTCGCACTAAATGAATTTAAGATTATACAACATTATTATATATATGAGACTAAATAGGTCTTACGTCTAATTACTTGTTAGCTTTACATTTTCTTTTTCAATTTATATATATAGGGCGATTAATATATATACAATACAATTTCCTCGGACAATATTGTCCGAGGAAAGTAACACAGAAGTCACTCCAGGCTGACAGCAATAGTTTTAGCAATGTTAGTACGGCCTCTAATGTGGCTGAACTAATATTCATTCTTATTTGCCTTCCTGATCCATTGCGGGATATTAATTATGGCGTGTCTTTTGAATGAGAATTTGCTGTTTGCGGACAATCATACAGATAGTCCTGGATCACTAGTGTTACCACAAATACATTGATCGCTGTCTCTGAGGCTAAATCTGTAAAGAAAGGACATACATGGTCCATTCTCTGTCAGGTACTGTGTGAGTTGAGAACAGCCGCTATTTAAATCCTGATTTACTTTTACTTTTGAATAAAAATTATACAGTCTTCTGCCCGTGGTGCTTGACTCCCAGTTCTTTTGCCATTGCTTCATTAATTTACATTTGAGACTAGCTTTCAGATATCAGTTCGGAAAGGGCACATTGATGCTACTCGCTTGAGACTCGTAGGTTGCACTTTTAGCAATCACATCTGTTTGCTTCGTTTCCTTAATACCTGTACGGGCTGAAACCCACTGAAGCTTGGGCATCAGACTTGTAGGAATCGAAATGAATTGTTTCTGTACGACTTTGACTACGGAATGTCTATAGCGGCGGCCTCGGATAGCCCGCAAACTTGGCATAAATAAATCACTTTGGAAGTGTTGACGATATCTATAGAATTAGATATTGCTATAAAATACTCTAATCGCCAAATACGTCTTTAAGCCGGAGACTCGAAAGCAAAATCCGACGGAAACGTTCTTCGAAAATAACCTACACAGGTGATTAAAGTTGTCTGTTCATATTATAAGGCTATAAGCAGACGAGGTTGAAATTGAAAATACTACTGAGTAGCTTACCTTGCTGCCCGATACTGCATAAAGATGAAAAGAAGAAATCATGTTAAGTTCCAGCCGCTCCAGTCACACAGTACAATGAATAGTTAAAGCTAACTGTTCACGTCTTTTGCTCCAGGTTCAAATCTTAAAAAGGCATGGACGTTTATATCAATGGTGAGAAAACTCTACCTCACATTATTAGACAAGTCCAATGTATGCAAATCTGATATGGCCACTGTAGATAAGACCAGATGGCAAAAAATACATGTTTTCCAAAATTAGACTCTTCGAGCGATACTTAATGCGCCCTGGTTTGCGCATATTAAACAAATTCATAACGAATTAAAAATCATAAAAAATGATAATTATCTCCTCACAAGTTCACATAGTTTCTTTAACAAAGTGATGAACTCTGAGTGTAAAACTCTATTAAGAATCATAGACTACGAACCAACCACTGAGAATGTGGTGAAAAGACCACGAACTGTACACCACAACTCAAATTGGTAAACATAGAACTTAGTGACTCAGCTTAGCTGATTAAACTCTTTTAGGCAGAAAACTGATCTCTTAGGATTAGAATAAGAGAAGGTTTACTCATCATCATTTTTATATGGATCGTCATTATTTTTTAAGAAACGTGTTCAAGTTACTAAGCAAGCACTCCTTAGATGGCACCACAAGAACTACAGGCTAGCAGGGCAGCTTCACTCTCACCATATCGGTGACACTAATTAGCGTGATTCTAAAAAAATGTCAATGTCTTAGGGCTAAATTCCAAATAGAGAGAGTAAATACTTAATCAGTAATAAAACATCCGATCAATATAAAAAATGTGAATAGTGGCTTTCCTGAGAGGGTCACTTAAAATATTCCGATCCAAAAGTACTTGCTGAAGGTGTTAAAGGAAGAGAAATACCAGATCCCGGAGTTCCGTAAACTAAGGGGCGATTAGAATACAGCTTAGTTTTTGCCCAGTTATTTGCATTTATACAATCTGTTGCCTGAAGCTGACAATTTAAATTCTATTCGCTTTTGTATGCTCAAGGTGTTAAGGTTTAGTCATTTGATAATTTTGAATTCGATTTTCTAACCTTGACATTCACATGTCTATTGTCGTAAGCACTTTAGAATACAGCTTCTGTTATTTGAACAGGTTATAAGGACTTACCACAGGAGGGCTTTTAATAACTGTTCGTTTAGTTGCTGTCAAGTTGATTATCTAGTGGTAATAAGGGCTGCTATCAATCAAAACTGAGAACAATCTGAGGCAGACAGCTATTATGTGTGCATTCACTAGATTAAATGACCCAACATTATTAAGGTTTATTTATGTTTATGTTTATTTTCCTATTGGCTATAATGCTTAAAACAAAAATGCCAGATATTTGAAAAGGCACCAAATTTTTTCACCAATTTGATAAATTCGGAGCAAAGTTATTAACAAGTTGTACATACTTTAGGAAAGTACATTTAAGCCGTTTAACATTTTCAGAAAAATCTTAAAAAATATAAAGATGTAATAATTAGGGCAAATAAGAGAAAGTTTTATCGCTGACTGCACTTTTGTTGAATTTTAATCCGTGCTGTAGTGTACGTATACGTGATCTACTTTACGTCACAAACACAAGAATTTCTTCATACACAACAGAGAGTTTGGAATCTGGTGCAAGGCAGCATAAAGCAAGCAATTATAATTATCGTCTTATAAGATGGAAATGATTTAAGTCAAGAACATGAAACATGTATGAAAATAATCGAGACATACTCTATAGTTGTGTAACTAACAGGTATGGTCTGAAAACCTAATGTTAAGGAAGAAATGCCTATAAATATTATTTTATGATAGAGTTTCACAAGTCATGAATAAGCTTTCAAGGACAAGGGTATTTTCAAGGGTGGTTCATCAAAAGTCTGCTTTAGTGAACGAGTAAAGTACTATTTCCATAGTAACTAAAAGTACAGTTAGTAAAATTAATTAATAAAGACTAAGGCTAAAAGTCAAAGCAATAATACACAATCAGGACTCAGACAGGCATTTTAAAAGATTTATACATTTTCTAAGGATTATTCGTATTTATTTTAAAGGTTATTAAGATGCAATAATAACCCACTATTTAAAAAAAAAAAAAAAACTAAAACGAGTAAATAAAGCAAAATAATTCTGCAAAATTCCTGTCCAAAGAAATCTTAGAGATAAGACCCCCATATTACGAGCCCACAGCAAGAAATAAAGCACTGTGGTCATTGTTACTCTCAAGCAACTTTTACGCTTCACACTCTTTGTTTCTGATTCTGCAGTAGGACAATGGGACTGTTAAGCTCCTACAAGTATCTTCAAAGCATGCAACTTATAAGTGATAGCGTTATGTGCAATTCCGGATAAGTTTAAAATTGCATTGGTAATGCTTTGGGGTCATTGTCCAAACACATGCAAGGATGATTAGGGATGGAATCGAATATCATGTTATTTCTCGTATAACTGCAGGAAGTCAGTTACAATATTTAAAATTCAACAATTAAATACTGCTTAGGACAGTATTCCTAAACTTCAGAAACATATGCATTTGAAACTATACAACACAGTTTTGAATCAGAATTTTCTTTAATAATTTGAGTATTGATTAAAAATGTCATAAATAAAAATAAAATTTCAGTCAATATAAAAAAAAAGAAAGCACTCACAGGAGCCAGTCGACAGCAAGGATCATAGAAATGTCCTGAGTCGGTAGTTTAACAGCAGTAAGAACCAACAACATTGTCACTAAACCAGCACTTGGCACACTGGCAGCTCCGATACTGGCAGCAGTGGCAGTGGCAGTTAAGCTACAAGAAGAACACAGTTTAGTAGAGTAGAAACTCCAATAATCTGGAGTTCTTATTGTCTGAAACTCCGGTTAACTCTTTGTACTTATTCTTAAACTAAGGAAAATTAAACATACTATTGGTTTGTTTACGTTTTGAATTTCTTTTGCTGTTTATAAAAAAGAAACCACTGAATTAATTTGGATGAATGGTTATAATACATAGATTCCCCTACAATGTTCAACAAATATGAAGCTTATTATACGTTAATGGCTACGTTAACGAAAAAATTCCAGTGTAGTAGATCTCGCCGCTAAAATTCAATTTTTGATAATAATAAAATCGTTAGCAGTTCAAAATCTCTCTTTATTTACATGAAACAAGCTTGCATCTCTAAGATGTTCGAAGTTAGCTGTCGTTTTCTTATTTCAAAAGAGTTAAATCTCTGAATTGAGAGTCTGAATTATTATTACCAGGAGATTTCATTTCCATAAGCTTTCTGTATGAACAGATTTAATTAATCTGAATAATTCTTGTTTGATTCCTAAGAATATAAAGAAAACGAAAACTATAATATGATTAAAACTTTCTTTCGATGCACTTACTTTAAATCAAAGAGATACAAGTACTTTTCGCTCAATTTTTACGACCTTCAAATATACCAAGGAACTGAAATTAAACTCCTCTTACATTTATATTGTACATTTAAAATAAATTTTGCAATCTAAATACATATTTTCTATGGGTTCGACTAAATGACTTTCATACTTAACAACAATAACTACTTCAGATAAACCAATTTATTCCCCACCATTACATTATCAATTTTAACTAAAACAGAAATTTTTGAGAACATTACGTATTTTAATTAATATCAAATACATTTTTCAAAGAATATATAAAAGATATAACAAAAGTACAATACACATGACAAATACCCATTATTATTGAATTTTCCAAATTATGGTCCATAGTTAATGTTTCACTTTTTAAAAATAATTGATCATTTGTAATTTAATATTAATTAAAACACAATTCTGTTACATTGAATTATCATAAATAGGAATAATAGACTCATTTCTTCTTCCTTTCCCACCCTTTTCCCCCAGACTGAAGAATTAAGGAAAGCAGATGAAAAGGATAAATAGGTTACGTGTTACCATTATCTCTACCGAATTTTCTAGCTTCTTCTTTTAGCTCTTTTTTTTAATGCTAATAGATTTTATTTACCAGAATTGGAAGGAAGATGCAAAAGAATTTCGGACATTTGGCGACCGTTTGCGGCGTAGATGGAGGATTTGTTGATAATTAATTTTGGTGGAATTTAAAGAAAAGCTGCCATGATAAGAAAAGAATTGTAAAAAAAAAAAAAAAAAAAAAAATTGGTAAAAGACACACAGTTAAGATATAGAATAGAAGCGAGCGCAATAAGCGATGAGGTATAGAATTAAGCGAAATAACAGAGTCCAATCTTTAAATTATTGCGAATTACAGAAAGAATGGAATGAAGGTTTCGAAGAGTTTTGCTCATGATAGTTATATACCTTGCAATACTTTTTCTACACATTTCGGCGTCATCTGTCCAAACAAAAATTAACGAGTTCAGGTCCTCAGTAATCGAAATTCCGATAGGAATAACTCTGCCATACTTGCCGCTACAACATCTAAGATACAGGAAACCAAAAAGAATTATTTTCAGAAACAGAACTTAGATATGAATATTATTTCTTCATCTCAAACTATGCGGGATTGGCAAAATATTTTAATTTAAACAAAATTTCATTCAGAAGTTTTGCTTAGCATCTTAAGCAAAGATTACAATTATTGTGAAAAATACCCTAAAAAAATCAAAATGACTAAATTTCGCTGAAAATATCGTTTAAATGAAACTTGAAAAGATGAAATTTACAATAAATCTGTCAATGTAATTCAGGGTCTCCTTTGATCTTTATTTCTCTTGCGAAAACTACAGCATGCAATGGATTTTTGTTATTTCTTGTTTTATTATCTGTAGGCGGTCACATAAATTCGCTTGTTAATCCTCCATCTATTTAGTCATTAGTCTGGAAAATTCACATATCTAACTTCTGGATAACTCTTTCAGTATTTTATTAAAAATAAAATATCATCAGCTGAAAAGTATCATTATTTGCGATAATTTAATTTCTTCAGAAATTCACCACTTTCTCTCTCTCCTTTTTTTTTTTTTTTTTTTTTTTTATTTATTATCGAAATTCTCAAAGATCGCTTTTCAAATTGCACGTTCCATGAGATTGTTACGTAGAAAAAAAAATATTTTTTTCCTTTTACACTCATTTAAACTGACTATTTCTTAACTAACTTTCTTCTTTGGTGCCGCAACGTAAAAGTAAAACTCAAACTGAAACTAAGTACTACATACTACTTTCATAATCAAAATCTTAAACTTTATATCAAAGAAATAAAGAGAAAATATCCTCCCTGGTGTTTTGGTAAAAATAACGATTTTCTATCAAAACCAAAATGTCAAATGCACTTCCGAAACAAAATCATCAATCTGCTTTCTCTCATTAAAATAAAACTAATTTAGATCTCCAACCTGAAAACATATAATTTTCCATACAATTCTAGAGATAGCCTTAAATCCTTAACATTTAAAATACCACACAGATCTCTTCAAAACACCAGGGAAGGATACATCTCACATTTAAGAAGTCTACTCAACAAATCAAAAATAAATTAAGTAGCCGATCGTATAGTCACCAACACTTAAAACTTATTTTTCTACTACCGCAATATGGTTACCCAGGTTCGATAGAATAACCATGTTCCGTAAGGATCACACGGGTGACCTACAGTAGACCACAATTAAACTAAAATAATAATAATAATAATAATAATAATAATAATAAACACATTTATTGAATATTCCCACACATTATAATTTAAGATAGCTGGCCACCCCTACAAAACATAATCTTAAAATTTACTCATTATTTCGATCTCATTTTTTAACATAATTCACGTCATACAAATCACAGTGAAGCACCTCAATATTAAGCTTTTTAAAACATGAACTCAAGAATTAAACTCATGACAATTAAGCATTTAAAAAAACATAGCAAACACTTTCTCAACTATTTATTATTCACAACACTTTCTCAACTATTGATTATCTATTAACAGCAAAATACAAATTTTAATCTATATAAAAAGTCAGCTAAGGTGTTAGAATTTAACTCTTACCAAATCCTAACGATTACTTATAAAAAAAAGCAAAATAAAAATAAAACTGTTTGCTCACGAATCCGCGTATACCAGTCTGAGAGCCTCGGGGAGCTGCCGAGATCCAGTCACAAAATGGTCCAACTTCATCGTTATCCGGAAAACCGATACTGAAGTCTGTTCCAGGCACAACGGAAATATTTTCAAAATTCCCCTACATCGTTTTCAGGAAAACCGATACTGATGTCTGCTCAAGGCACAACACGAAATTTCTCATAGTTCCACTTCATCGTTGTCAGGAAAACCGATACTGATGTCTGTTTAAGTTATAACGGGAATTCTCTCATAGCACCCGCAGTATTCGTTCCAGCAGCATTTAACTGAAAAAAAAAATCACCCTTCCCTTTTATTCTCTGAAGATAACAGAAGGGAGATGGACAACAGGAGATGATGACTTCCCTCTTTTCCACATTTTCCAAAGCAAACTGTAACCTCAGCAACAGCAATTCAGACTCAACTCTTCCACACGTAGAGAACGGCAGAGATATGACTAAGACGCTGGACCTAGCCCGAGATCTTCAGCCAATTACGCCGAAATTTAACCGAAAGGAGCCCGCGACGAGCTCGGACCCGTCCCCGCTGCCAGTGCCACGGAGATAAACAATATTAACCGTAACGCGGTCGCCCCCAAGGGGTCGCCGGGTAACGCTTCTCTCAAAGCCGATTAAAACTGGACCAAATCTCACGAAAATCTCGCAAAAACCTCCCTTCTTCAACCGTGCAACGGCTTAAGAAAACTCGGTAGAATGCTCAACACGTAAACGCCTCTAATTCACCATTGGCTCAAACCACACTAAAATTAAAATTTAGCCAATCTTAAACAAAACTAGAACTCCCTGTAGCCAACTAGAAAAAAGGTGATAAACCATGACCAAAATTCTAAGAAATTCAGAACTCTCTACAAGATGACAGACCCTTTCTTTCCTACGCAAAAAGGAATGTTTCCAACCTATAACTCTGTCAAATATCGCCGCCCTCTAGAACTATTCGCCCCTGAACGAGCAAAACACGTGTTTTCAACCCCTGCGAAAAGAGGAAAATGCAGCTGGCCACAACTGACCGTTTCGTGGGAAACAGAAGTAACGAGCCTCGCCCTTTTTTTTAAATCACACTCTTCAGCTAAAATGAGCTTTGCCATAAAGTTTAACAATACTAAATATTATACATTAATTCTTAAATAATAACAATACAAATTCATTAAACACAGTAAAGTAATATAATAATTGTACACAACAAAATAATACATAACAATTGTACACAACAAAATAATACATAACAATTTTCTATAACAAGATCATTGGCTCGTGAGTTACTTAGAAAACTATTTCTAGACATATATGACTTGCACTTTAAAGAATATTGCCTATTGTAAATATTTTTTTCCTCCTCATCAGGGCTATGTACATTACAAAATTCTTTTTCTGAAATTATACACTATGTGTCTACAAAGTTTAAGGAATGATGTTTTTTAAGAAGTAACAGTGAACCTTCAAGACAATTATAGATGGCGATAATTACATCCTAATCTACAGTTTTCTCTCCCTAAAAGTATCATCTACTTAGCATACTTCCCCATTGAAAATAATGGAAATCCAGTTAATCCGTTCCGCATCCCCAAAAATATCAACATAAAAATCAATTTTTCTAATATACATAACACTGGTAAATAATATAGCCGTAGTTTACCTTTATGATAGATCCCGACACCGAATCTTCTTTTGACTGCTTCTCGTTCATCCACACCAACAACAGCTTCTCAAAATTTTCTAGGCTTTTTGGACATTGCTTAGAAGTAACTGTAACTCCTTTGGCCACATCAAGTTTCTTAATTTCCTCCTTCTCCTTCAGAATAATCCACTCTTATACCACGCTTATGTCACTCTTACACCACGCTTATGTTTATCTATGATTTCTTTCTTAATTTCAACGGTCATGGCTTCCTTCTTTTTCTTTTCAGCACTATCTAAGGCAACAATCTCCTTGGGAGGCATCGTGAAATAAATTATTTCACGTTAAATGTAAAAAAAACAATTGTAAAAACAACCGCGCAAACACGGCAGATCAAAGAACACTGAGTGATCTGACAAGGGGATTCTTTCATTTTCCAGTCTAAATATCTGTACTTTTCTAAATATCGTCTGCTTATTAATTGCATTTTTTCTCTCTTTTGTTTTTGGCAACTATTGCAATGTTATGGACTTTTTCCTTTGGGGATTTGTAAAGGACAACATTTACAGGAGGAGAGTGTCGAACATTGATGACCTAAAAGCCAGAATTACAACCGCAATAGCCTCTGTGGATACCGACATGCTTGCCGGTACCTGGCGTGAAATTGAATATCGACTTGATATTCTCCGTGCGACGAAAGGGGCACACGTGGAAGTTCATTGACAAGGGTCATGAAACTTTTTGAGTCTATCTAACCATTTATGTTATTAATTTTAATCTATCTTTATTATTTTATGAGTTACTAAACATCAAAGTGGGTCCGGGACTTTATAAACACCCTGTATATATATCTACACATAATTTATCAGAAAACATCGTAAAACATGTATGTTTGAAGAACCAGTAAATTATTGAAAAAGTGTGGACGGTATCGTGAATGAGGCGAAAAGGTTACCGGAAGTATTTCGTGCATCAAATATGTAAGAAATACTAACCTCACTGTGATAATTTCTCCGGCAGACAAGTCGATACCGTTCATTTGGGCGATGAACAACGCGGCGACAGCTTCGTACAGAGCAGTGCCATCCATATTAACTGTTGCTCCGACTGGTAGAACAAACCTCGTAACCCGACAATCGATATTGTTGTTTTCCTCCAGACACTTGAACGTGATAGGCAGCGTAGCAGCACTTTAAAGACACAAGAAAATTAATTACATATAGTTACTCAATGTTGATGTAGGAAATTGTCATACACATATTTCACAAAATCACCATTTTTTTTTTTTTCTTTAATTAAATGCAAAACCCTGGTTAACTCTTTCACAACCAATCTGCCACACATGGCCCTACACTGAAACAACCAGAACCGCCCGAACACGGCCGAGATTGTTATCTTGTTTTCTTCCCTCCTCCTAAAGTATGCAGTAGCAGGTGCAGTTTCTCCAAATGCATTGTATCAGTTTATTGCAGTCAGCTTGTTCTAAGAGGTTTCTTATCTTTTGGTTGCTCGTGACATTTTATTGTTGATTCTTTTGTGGTACAGTGTGCTTTTAAGCTTTAAACAGCAATAAAAGTGCAGTTTAAAAATTTAAGGATTACGTTTATTTTTAATCAATTTATTCTTTCCTATAAAAATAACGGAAATAAACAAATCTCAGTCGTGATCACTACAAAGCCAGAAAGGCTTGTTGGTCTGACCTTCAGAATAGTTTTATAAAGAACGGGGTCAAAGTTTAATGGAATCTTTGTTAGAAAGTACAAAGTCATTCGAAATCTTCACACCTATTTTCTGCATTAATGGACGGAGAGGGGAGGAAATTGCTGTGAAATCGAAAAGTATTTCGGGCGGTTTGGTATTTTGAGGATACAGGTTAGCGAAGGGTTTGGATTTGAAAGAGTTAATCAAAACAAAGGAGGACAGTAACATGGAATCTGTGAGCCCGTAAAGCCTGCATTTCAGTTCTAAAAGTATGCTTTTCTTCATTGTTTCATTTTTTATAATTAAATGCAGCATAATTTATGAATAAATTAAATGATTTCATGGTGAATAAATTAATTGATTGCACAATAATTGCATCGTAAATGATGCATTGCGCAATCTCTTTGCAATAGATGATTTCTAAAAACTGAAATTTATTGATAGAATTATGATAATTAAAACTGCGTTGGGTATAAGATTTTCGTTCAACAAGAATAAACTAATCCCCTCCTAAAAAAGGAAACTTCAAAGATTCCAGCAGATTATGCAAAAGTTCTGCATATCATTCCAAGTGCAGTTTCGTTTTTCTACTAGGAAACCTGTCAGTGGACTGCCACTACCTACTGGAAATATTTCAGAAAGATATTTCTAAAATTTGAAAACTTGATTATTTAGACTAATTTAGTAATGCTTTATTAACATAAAATTTTTTGTAAATATTCATACAAACATTTAAATTACAATACTGTAATTTCGACTTGTGTATTTTCAACGTATCTATGCGACGTTGATTCAATAATTCAAAAGGTATCATTTAATGCAGAGAAATTTAACAATATTTTGTTATTACAGGTTATTAAAACGAAAAATCTTAAAAACTAATTTTCAAACTTTCATTTATGAAACATGTATTTGAGAGAATATTAGCTTCAAAAAAGATGTAAGGAGGAGACATTAAGGATACACTTCCAGGTTTTATGAGGTTGAGTTTGACCATCGGATATCTAATAAAAACTGTTATCCATCTCTATTAAATTCCATTAACTGGGTTTCTGCTGCCCTTTATTATAATCCATTACCATTCAAATTACTATTTTTTTCCGAGCAAATTCCTGAAGATTACGCCTTTCAAGTAATTGTGATATAAACACCATAGTATATTAAATTTTATCAAAATTATTAACAGAGATTTTAGAGAAAATCATGGCCTATACATATGACACTAGGCATTAATGTGATATACACTGAAAAAGTTCCGAAAAGTTCATCTTGAAATATAACCATAATTAGGAATCTTTATTTCTTCTTGGCATATAATCATGACTGGGAATCTTCAGCCATCATATTGTAAGGATCTTAAGTTTTACTAACGTTTATTTTATTTTAAATCTTTACTATCACTTCTTATTTTCTACTTCCGGCCAGAATTATAAGCGTTAAAGTAGTTATGCAAAGTTTGTCTGGCGAACGCCAAGTATTTAAGTTGTGGCTTTTTGCCAAGCGAGAGAGAGGAAGCAGTGTCGAAGCAGGCCGCTTACCTTAGAAGTTTTACGCAGTTGCTGGTTGCCTTCCAGGCCAAAGGTTTTAATCCTCTTGATAAATTTTAAACGTATTGTAGTGTTCACAGTTCTCTGTACTACATACGGCTTCCTGTTAATATAAGGCCAATCTTCCACGTTTATTATTTTAAAGTTAAATTAGAGTTTAGTTCTATTTTTTTTATATTTTTACGTTAGACCCCAAGTAGCGGGTCTGTGTATTCCGAAGTACGGAATTTATTGTAAATAGAGAAAAATAAAGGGTTTTGTATACCCTTCTTGTGTATCCTGTCTACTTCCCCCAATTTTGAACATAGCTTTAGTAAGCTCTCTGTTCCGAGTCAGGTCCTTGCATGTTCCCGAAGAAGGTAAGACGGAACATTGAACCTGATAATATGTCACAACTGGGAATTCAGAGACATAGTATAATCATAACTGGGAATCAAAATTTCATCATCCCAGGTAAAACTGCAATGCAATTCTCAGTTTTATCTCGGTTCATAGATTACAGTTTACATGTAATAGATTTTCATGCATTACAGTTTATGGATTACAGATTACAGTTTTACCTGGATTCATGGTTTGGTTCTGCAAGAGGATTCAGCGAGTTCGTACGGAACGATAAAAGGAAAGGGAATTATTCTCGCTGCACGATAAAACTACCTGTTCACACGGCTGGTGTTGTGGTGCAGTTTCTAGCGCAAAATGTGTGCCAGTTCTCAACCGTCCTCCGTATTCACCTGATTTAGTGCCGGATGACTTTTTAATTCCCCAAATCAAACTTCATGTGTAGGGTCAAACGCTTCGATTGACGTAACCGATATTCAAGCCACAGAGACAGACAAGTTGAATGACATCAGTAAGGATTTTTCTATCAGTTTCATGCAGTTTTATGAACATTTTGTGCTTTGTACTCAAGTGTAGGGACTTTTTCCTGAGGTCTAAGCTAGAATAATTACTCAATATAGGGGGGAGACTATTTACAACAGTGAAAACCTTTCTTCTGACCTCTATAATACTCCCCATTTTAATCTTTCATTTAGCATTAATCCTAAATATTTCGCCTTACTGACTCTAGGAATTTCTTCAGAGAATAAAAAGAGCTTACTATTAATATTCAACTGTGTATTTTTCCTCCTTATCATTAATAATTGCGACTTGCTGGCATTAACAGCAATCTTCCACGTCATACACCACTTTTCTACCTCTGGCAGAGGCTCCTGTAACTTCTTGATTGCATGGTGTGCGTTTGTGGACTTTACGGCTAATGCCGTATCGTCCGCATAGCATCCAAGAAAGTGATTTCTGTCTGTTTCTGCACCCAAGTCTGTGATTTCAGTGATGTGAGCCCTAGGGAAATCATGAACGTAAAATAAATACAGGACGGGCCCTAAAATGGACCCACGTGGGACGCCTGCATTTATGGTGCGTAAACTGGAGAAGTCCTTTCCAATAGCCACAGTGAATTTCCTATTAGTGATGAAAAACATAATTAGCTGAATCAGCTCTCTATCCATAGGGAGATTTATAAGTTTATAATTAAGCCCCTCATGCCAGACGCGATCGAATGCCTTCCCCACGTCTAGCATGAGTAAGGCGATATGCACATTCTGTAATTTCCCCCGTGTTTATATTTGCCGGAGATAAGATCTTTCAAGTTATGAAAGATTAGGTGCCAGTATTTATGTAGGTAGAACATCCTCTTCCTTTTTTCAGGACACTACATTGCGCTGGACTGTTTAAGATGAGTTTATACGCTTATGTAACTGAAATAAACTTTCAGTTGTGATTTTCAACTTCCGAATAATTGCAAGTAATTTATAATAAATAATAGGTTATGAATGACAGATTATAGCTGAAATAACACACACTAATATTAACATAATAAGAGATTTCAGAAAGTTCTTCAAGATAGTTTCTGTAAAGTGAACGTAACAAACTGAAATGAACGCATTTTGTAACCTTATATCTTGAAAGTTGCCCATAAAAATAGTCCGAGTTTGAATGAAAATTAATCTGTAGAAGAACTGGCACAGAAAGATTCTGCTTGGTGATGTTGATGGAATAGTTGTTAGTGGTGATATACAGCTAACAACAGTTCCAGCCTATAGACAACTTCCACGAAGAATAAAAAAGAGATCAAAATAAAATATTCCTCTGTATGGGAAAAAAAAAAACTATATGTGCTACAATTTTCATTAACAAATTTCTAAAAGTTAGTACAGAACACATTAAATTTGAAATACACGTTTTCTGGATCAATTAAGCTATTTTAGAAGGACAGTCATTTTTATCTTTTAATATTTAAAATAAAACTAAATAACGAAAAAACATGTCACATCTGGTTGATTTGACTGACTGAATGAAAAGGAATTTGAAATTAAAAATAAGGAGGCAGTCAGAGAAAAATAAATAAAAAAAAAAGGCAGAGATCTAATTGGTCAGGTTTATCAACAACTCATCAGTGAGGATTTCTAGAGAAAAAAACACAATAACTACAGATAAACTCACCTAGATGCCGTACCAAGCGCTGTCACCCAAGCTTGAAGCATACCTTTGAAGAATGTCCATGGGTTTTTTCGCGTGATAAGAAAATATATTCCTGGCAATGTTATAATACCATGTATAAGGAGACCAACGATGACAGTTAACATATATAAGCCTAGCTGCTGGGCAGTAACAGCCAAGTCTTCAATATCCATGATGTTTCCTATAATCAAAAACATGATTCCAATGGGAGAATACCTGTCAGAAAAAAATATTAAAATTAGTTTTCCAATGAAAATAAATGGTAAAATGTTATTTTCAGCACGATTCTGAATTTTTTCACTTTTCTTTATTTAGCTTACTCATGGTGTCTGTCGGTATCTACAAAAGTTTGCCATCGATTTTAAAACTATTTCCTGATAAGTTTTCGAGCTGGAATGTTGCATAAACACTGCTTGTGGATGGCAATACAACGCAGTGAAGTGAAGCCATTTTTTCCATCCAAATTTGATTTTTTTAAAAATTTAATGCTGAAAAGACTTTTCGAGCATATCTTCGTTTAAAAAGAATAAATTAAAAATCTCAAAATTCTACTGTACGCACCATCAAATGAGTGACGTTCTTATATTTTGGCTTATTTTTAAAAACCTTCCAATTCAATTTCCGTCGTTTATTATTTTAAAATTTCAATATCTAAAAATGTATCATCTCTAATTCAGAAAGAATTTTCGTTGATTATAAAACAAGCTCTTCGCTTTCTTTGGAGAAAAGAATGAAAAAATAAATAATTAAAAATTGGGAGATTTCGTCAATCAAAGTTGTTAAGAACTTTATTTATTATTAGTAATTAGATATGTCAGAAGCATAGGTACTATCGAATGCTAATTGCTTGTTATTAACTTCATACTCAAGAGTACTTATGCTGATGCTTTGAAAACTGGCAGCTTGTGAGTCTACTAATCGTCGTTTACATGGCTTTATATTGCTGAAAGAGTTTGTCCATGAAAATGTCCAAAAGTATTTTATTATCCTCATATTTTCATCTACAATGTACGAAAATCAAATTGCAATAATGTAAGAGCACTCCGTTATGGTATCGTATTTCCCAAGTTCACAAGTACTTACTGGCATGGACAACATTTCCAATCCTTCGTTTTAAAATACGGAACACGCCCATAAAGCAAAGCGCAACTCGAACTGACTTGAGATATGAAAATCAAATTTGGGCGACTTGAGATAAATAAATATTGGACTTCATTAATAAATATCTGATGTATACACCATATGACTTCCTTGTACGGCATTTTAAATTATGCACATTTTTTTTGCTGCACTTCATTTAAACGTATATCCTCGAATTTCTTTAGAGATATATTCTCCTTCAATCACTTCGCGGCAAGGCAAAAATACATAAACATTTAAAATAGCTCCATTCAAAATTTTAAAATACAGAAAAACATAAAACGCCAAATATAGTTAAAAACAGATAAAAAACAATTTTTGCAATTAAAATTAGATTTTGTACACAAAAACAAGCAATTTGGCCAGCGGATAGAAAGACAAGATTTTCGGTGCACAACAATGAAAGTTTACCATTTCGTCCTACTGAGCAGAAGACTACTAAGAGTTACAAATATTCTTCTAAAAGAAAAAGCGGTCTCGTTAAGTCTAGCCCCATTTTTAAATTGTTGATAATTCTACAACTATTGATGCAGATTAAAAGCCATAAAAACCTTTACCGGAACATAAGAACAACATATTTCAATCACCTTTCTAACCAAAACATGTACAGTTTACCGACATACTAGAATAAAAAAAGAGTTTACTGAGCCTAGTAAGAGAGTGAATATATATATATATATATATTATCAGGTTCTGTGTTCCTCCTTACTTGCTTTGGGAACATTAAATGTCCTGACTCGGAACAGGGAGCTTACTAAAGCTATGTTCAATAAATGTGGGAAGTAGACAATACACACAGGAAGGGTATACGAAACCCTTTATTTTTCTCTCTTTACAATGATTTCCGGACTTCGGAATACAGAGACCAACCACTTGTGGTCTGAACGTAAGAATATAAAAATATAACTAAACTCTAACTAAACTTAACTTTGGATTAATAAACAAGTGCCTACTTGAAGATTGGCCGTATATTAGCAAAAAGACGTATGTAGTACAGAAAACTGCTAACACTACGATACGTTTAAAATTATCAAGAGGATTAAACCTCTGGCCCTGAAGGCAACCAGCAACCGAGTAAAACTACTATGGCAAGCGGCCTGCTTCTAATAGCTCTTCCTCTCTCTTGCTTGGCAAAAAGCCACAACTTAAGTACTTGGCGTTCGCAAGACAAATTTGCATAAATAAGTTAAAGCTTTTAATTCTGGCCGGAAATAGAAAATAAGAAGTGATAGTAAAGATTTAAAATAAAATAAACGTTAGTAAAACTTAAGATCCTTACATACTTCCCGCCAGAGTTAATTAGTTTGAAACTGAGGTCTAAAACGACCTTGTTGAAAACTTTTAGCTCTAGAATCTAACGCGAGGCCAATCTTTTACAAACATTTCTCACTAGAAACTAGAAATTAAAAAAAAAAAGTCGTTTTTACATTATCAACTCCATGGACAATTACTTTTCATCTGTACTGCATCTAAACAGGAGTTCTTAGTTGAAATCTGGTTCCTTCCAGAGATCTGGAAGGAAAACTAGTTTAATGAAATGTTACACAATTAAATGGCAAGTAACATGAATACTTATATTTCTCTTAACATTCTTATTTCATTCATGACGTTATTTAATTATCTCCCCGTGCTCTCTGACATGTGTTGTAAAGGAAAACACCAAACACGAACGTGTTTATGTACAAGTGTTCAACACTACCGCCTGCAATCAAAACACTAACGTGTTAAAATTCAACATAACAAGACCTCATAACACACCTTATATTCATCTCTAAACCCTGAGGTACTATTCTGAAAGTGGCTAACTCTGAAGTGTAGCGTCAGAGAGCCTAACTACATTCATTCAACCTTTAACACATATTCACAATAATTTGCTCTTTTTACAGTCACACGAATAAGTTAAAATTTTTGGCATTACTTTCACTTTTAACATATCACAGTATTTCTTAACTTTAAAAATAACAGTTCACATTGTATATAAGGACATATTAACATGCCGTTAATTTTACGCATTTTAAAACATACATTAGTAGTACATTGTTAACTTCTATTCTTTTCCAAGCAAGTGCCAATTCTTCTACATTGAAATACTACATTTCAAAAGTCTTTCAGACTAAAACTTCTTTCTTGCCAGAATCTTTTAAATAAAATTTTATACAATAACTTTTACAATATTCAAGTATTTACACATTCCTATTATACATTAATTTTAGTTTTACTCGCGAGTAATTGAAAAACATAATACCAAAATAGGTAACAACTCATTTCTCGCCTTTTTGGCGATAAAGGTAGACCTCACATGAGGTAAAACGTCTTGAATTCTGCCACTTGCAGTAAGAATGAAAGATTAACTTAAGGTTTCAAAGTAACAAAGTAACATAAAGTTTTACTTATCTTTGTGATATTCGGACATCCTTTTTTCTGCCCAGTCCTGGAAGGTAGCGAAGATTACGGTTTGGTTTATCTTCCTTCTTGTGCGGGTTCGCCCTTCAGTTCCTTCCTCCATGAGCTTTCTTTTTCCTTCCAGTTCGGTCACCCTTGAAGACCTTCTTTTTAGCCTCTGCCTGTGGTCTTGGCGGAACCGGGACAACTCTCTCTCGTTCCTGCTTGGATCTCGTTGCTGGCTGTTTCCTTGTTTCTTTGCCTCCGCAGCTGGTGTTCCTTCATCAATTCGTCGACATTTGCTGCGTAGACTCCTGTCCGATGGGTAGATCTTCCGTTTTGGAGCCGGGTTATAGTTGCCGTCATTTCTCCTGGCTCTCTTTGCATTCGTCGTACTTCTCCCTTCTTCATTCTGGGGGTGGTCGTGCTCTCTCTTTTCTGGTCGGTGGAACGGCTTCTTTTTCTTGTTACCTTCAATTTTCCAACGGGGAAACTTTCTTTTCAATTGCTCCTGCCTCCTAATGGCTTGCCCTTGTGATTGTCGTTGTTCCACCTCTGGAGCTTGTGCCTGCAGTGCCTGCCGTGCCGGATCCTGCAAAAGATCTTTAAATATTTGCATTTTATTACGATTATAGAATGGTTTTATCTGGTCAATGTTTGCGGAGCATGTTTCACCATTCCTGGCTTTTAACACCACTACAGCCTGAGTTATTTTTTCTATGACATATGGTCCTTCAAATCGTGGAAAAATTTGGCAGTTTTATCTTCTGGTGCTGAAGAAAAGTGAATGCTTAATTTTTAACACTTCATCTCCTACTTTATATAAGTTACTCCCCGTCGTTTCATATCATAATAAAGTTTCTGTTTTCTCTGTGCTACTTCAGTGTTCTTTTTTGCTTCTTTAATTAATTTTATATATGCCCATTTTAAATTCTGGGGCTCTTTGTTGAACATAAAATAATTTATCTAACGGCGTTATAATCTTTCTGCCTAAAAATAACTCAGCAGGAGTTTTGGCCGTTGCATCATGTTTTGCGGTCCTAAGGGCGAAAGCTAATTCATTGACATAGTTATCCCAGCTTTTATGAAAATTTTTAACATAACTACGGATAATTTTCACTATATTTCTATTGACCCCTTCGCTATATTTGATTGCGGCCGATATGGGACCATTTTTAAATAACGTATGCCCAGTTTTTGGAAGGAACAATTTCGGTCCACTTACTAAAATGATCAACCATAACAAGGAGATACCGACTTTTACTTAACTGACTTTTTGGGAAAGGGCCCAATAAATCGATGCCAATTATTTCATTTGGAAATTCGGATTTAATGCTATTTAGAAACCCGGTCGGGCGGAAATTAATATAATTAACTGCTTGACATGTTGGGCAGGACTGGACATACGCCCTTGTTAACTTTTGCAGTTCAGGAAAATAAACTGCTTCGCGTACGCGTTGGATGGTTTTTCGCTAAAGTAGTCATGTATTTGGTAGAAGTTATGTTCCTTAGAATTTCTTCGATAATAGGTAACGGATATACCGGATGTTTAGTCATGGAGTTTAATTTACGATAGTCAATTGCAAAACGCCACCTTTTTTGGATGTGTTACCGGATAGTCATTATTTTTCTTACATAACACAACCGGGCTAGCATAACTACTTGAGATGGGCGTTATGATCTTTTTACGTAAC